TCCGCTGAAGACGATCGTGTCCGCGCTTACACGCGGACGGAGACGAGGAGGTGGAATGGGAACGAAAGAGAAAACGCAGAGACAAGGGGAGAAACGCCGCGAGGAGATCGAGAGAGAAAGAGAGGCAGGGACGGGGAAGAGAGGAGAGCGCAAAGTGGACGAAAGTTGAGACGTTGACCAGGCACTACGCTGCCGAAACTCCTCCCTCTCGTTAATTGATTTCGTTAACGGCGCAGCCATTAAACCGTAATAACGCGGAGGGTCCTGCCAGGCAGAAATAACTCGCCGCAAGGGCGGAAGAGGATTCGCCATTTTTCCATTACCCGACGGGAGATTTATCGATCGTACAATATGCGGCTACCTCGTGCCAGTCGGATGGACGATTCCTCGGCATAATCGCGGACACGTGCGCGGATATATATCAGGAAACCAGGACAATTGATCGGAAACGGTTATGTATAAAAGATGACTTGAAAAGGGAATGGGATGAAAACTCGAAAAGATTACGATTTTTATTAAAGGAACCGAGGAATATTCAGTTATTTAACTTCAAGTTCAGTTATTTATTTCAGTGTCTCTGGCACTATAAAAGTTTAACAGTTCTTGTTAAATTTTCCTTAAAAAAAATTTGATCTCTTTATTCTGAATTTCGATAAATAATACATTATTATATAACTTATGTAACTGTGCATACATATGATGAGCAAATATTATTTTAAAATTTTATTTGCTCATTTTTTTAAATATTTTAATATTTCAATAATAATTGGTATAATGAATACAAATAATTAACGGACATATAATTGTGTCATTAAATTTTGCTTTTTCATAATCTTTTAATTTTTTTTCATTGAATTTGGAAATATTATATATATATATATATATAATGTATCGCGCTCACATTCCTCGACTTCCTGCATCCTCCGTCCTAGCTTCCTAATTCAGCATTCTGTTCCTGATTATTTCGACGTGGCGCTGCGGGTATTAGTTAATACCACTGACATTCACGTAGACGATCAGAGAAAGGTGTGTTTGCGACGCCGAAATGAAATATTTCATTAGAGTCGACGAGAGTTTTTCTATAGATTTAACGCAACACTCGATATCACGGGAAAGGGATACGCAACGCACAAGAATAAAACGATGAAAAAAGCTACATCATGTCCCGTCAAACGTCAACAGTCGTCGGTTCGCTGAATGATCAAAACAATCAACTCTTTCAAAACTTTGCAAAGAGTTTCCAAACAACCAAACATTACATATTCCTGTACGTTGTATATAGCTTCTCGAGTGTCTCCATTATATGTCTCGAGCTATACGACGAGCGATGCGCATACCGTAAACTATGTGTAACGGTACGTTGTTTATCACATTCCAATCGGGTAATTAAAATATTTCGTCGATCTCTGACATATTTAATTAGGCTCTCGTCGGCATCGCGTAATTTTCTCTTTGATCGAATCGTGTCCTCGCGAGTATTAATGTTAGTGCCACGGCGGAATGATGTCCCAGGATACGGGACGCGAGCAACGAATACATAAATTTTCAAGTGCGCCCAATTATTCGTTACATAAGAGAATGCCGTTTTCGACATTTCGTTTGACGAATTTGCCGAGAGTAAAAAGATACCCGAGTCGAAATTTAGGCCGGCAATCATAGTCCGTCGTCAATTGATAAATAACGATCATGAGTCTCCGACTATTTCTTCAACCTGTATATATATTCGTTATGTCAATTTATGCGACAAAAAACCATTGATCCAAAGAACCAAATGACTCATGAATATGAATCAACACGAATTTGTAATTAATTATATTCTTAATCTTAATGGATTGTAAATAATTTAAACGACTACAACTATTGGCCTTAAAACATAATGTAAGTCTTATAACTGCTGATCTTTACGACTAATAACGCTACTCGCTATCGCGAGTTCGGCCTTGTTTACATCTGACAACTCTTCATTTCTGTTTAGCTTTGTTGTTATGCGGAATGCAAGTTTAAATCTCCATTGATCAATTCGACATTATTAGATATGTAAAAATGTTTGCCTTCAGCTTTTTCCGTATCAACTTTTTTTAAGAGTATTAATGCTAATCGAGACTCCCAACATCAGAAGAGAAAAAAAGAAATTAAGAGAATAGAGATTTGTTGTTTTTATATTCAAACTTTAATCTTTATTACAGATATTTAGTATTGTCTTCTTTCATATAAATATTCTATCTTCAACTGAGTAAATTATACAATCAGTACAATACACTGACTCAAATTAAGAGTAAAGATTAAATGTAAGTAAGATACTGAGAAAAACGAGTGTTTAAGATCATTTTTGAACGAGTTCAAGCTCTTTCGAAAAAGTAGCATTGAGCGATCATTTGTTAGGATTAGAGAATAGTCTACGGAGCACCACATCTCGAGATTTCTCATAGATTCTTCCAATTTCACGGAATTTGCAGGATTAATGTGAGACCAATATTTCGACTCGAGTGCACGCGCGAACCGTTAATAACGCGGAAAGTCATTCGAGTCGTTCACAACGTCTCCGAAACGTGCTGCCGCTAATAATAGGACATGTTAATTGCACGTGTTGTAACGAGGACGGTGACCTCGTGGGGCAGCTGTACCTTCCATCAGCGGAATTCTTCCTTTGTATTCTACGAAATTAAATCACCTCAATTAACTCGTTTCCTTAAGCAACGAACGCTTCTGCTCGCGTGATAACGAGGCAGATAATAGATAATAACGATTTATATGCCACACACGTTATCCAACACACGTCGCCGGCGTTATCGGATCCGCGCAGTTTTGAATATAATAATTAAATTGAAGAGAGGAAAAACCAATTAAATCAGGACTTCCGCATTTTTTCCTTTTCCGCGTTTGAGAATTCGCGGCTCCGGCCGTCCCGTTAACCAGCCGGAAGTGCAGAGTTCGCGTCGCGATTGAAAACACCGGCGAATGGCTTGCGTTGCATTCGGGAGTAACGATCTTTCACTTTTAACGCATCGGGCCATGTCGTCCGGCAAGCGAGGATGCAAATCGCTCGCTTTATGCCGGCCGACGTATTGAAAGCCGAACGGCGACCAAGTCAATATATCGCGCAATACACCGTTTGCGGTGCAAAGGTGTTGGGGCCGAGAGCGCAGTGTACTCGCTCGTGTTTTCGATACGATCTTTTTCACCTTCCCGTTCTGGCCCGTGAGTGATTATCAGCGTTAATCGAGTTCTCGCGCGATAGCATCGGTTCGTCAGGCGATTCGGCGCGCTCGGGGTCAACGAACCGAGCCGAATCGGACGAGAAGTAATTAAATGTTGAGACGTGACGACAGAAATCGATAGTACGAGAGCGGACGAATGATAGTACGAACGCGCGAGACGGACAATCCCGGGCATCCACGGGTCATCATCCTCCTCGCGCCAACTTGGTGATGCGCGAACGAGCGAATGCGCGAGTTTGTCCCGGCTCTCAATTACGACTAACCCATTTAGCGGCGAATACCGGATCGACGAACGGATGTGAGATAAAATTGCGCGTCCCGGCATTGTCGCGCGCGACGCCGAATAATTTATCCGTCTAACTTCGATCGGCGATTCGCCTCGCTTCGCGGAGAATCCGCGTCGCCTCTTGAGCTATCGCCCCCGTACATCTGCCCCGGGGAACTTGAATTTCTCGCGCGGCCTTACGACATCGCGGTAACGTACGAGCTAATTAAAGCGAACCGTTTGTAACAGTACGCCACGATCGCATGATCGCATCCGATCCGAAACGTTTTCATTCAGCGCAAATGACTCGGCTCGGGGATTCGTCGCTCTTGTGAGAGTCAGCGAGATGCCTCGATAAGCAGCGAGCAGAAAAGAATTCGCTGCACGGAGAGAATATTGTAGTAAAAATTGCAATACAATTTTAATAGTCCGGGGAAATAGACTGATACTATTATGAAAATTATATAATAAAACATAGTAAAAATTACTATATAAACATAATTTTTGCTACATTTTTGCTAGATTTATGGTAATTTTTACTTGTCATTTTTCACTGTCATTTTTACTTGTTATTTTTTAGAGTTTTTTAAAGAAACATTAGTGCTTGAAAAAGTATATTTTCAAAAATTATGTCAAGTATGCGTATTTCGTTCTGCATCGTTTGTTTGATGGCAATGTGTGTTAGTGTCACTCTACTCCCTCGGTAACACGCCCAGAATCTTGAAAATAATTTTCCAATATCCCAAAGTCGCGTCCATAACATTAGATTCATCGTAGCAGTATATTCGGATTCTCGCGCAGTGATACCTGGTGCACAGGTTCTGCGAAAATCGGTCATGTTACTGCAGGTTAGGTCATATAGTGTTAGCATGTAGAGCACGTTCTAAGATAGTTTTTTAGAGTTTTTTAAAGTAATATTTAGCGAAAATATAACCATGTATATATGAAAATATTATTTTTAAGTAAACTTTTCCAATTCTTAAACTTTTAAATTCAAATGCGAAAGTACAGCATTGTTCTTCCACATTTTTCTGTTTAGAGCATCCATACTTTCGGTAAACTGCGGAAATATTTTTAGTCAAATATTACGCTAATAGCTTGTTATTTTATTTAAAATCTTTTTGCGCTTACTTTTATTGTGTAAAAGTATTTGTAGTTCTGTACAATGGATATACGATGTGAACTTTGTAGAAAAATGTCAGTATTCTATCGATAAAGTTTTCAGCTTCAGCATCCCTTTAAGGGCTTATAATATTTCGCTTAAATTATTATAAGCGTAATGCTTATAATATTTTAAGCAAATATATGTTATATTTTGCTTAAAATATTTTAGTAGTATTTATAGTATAATGTTCGGTTGTACAATAAGAATACGACGCGCGAGAATAGCGAAACAATCAGCAAAAAATGTTAACTCGTTGCTTATCAATGAATGACGGGCGGTTACACCGTCAAAACATTCGAGACAGTTATCCAAAGTAGTTATGTTTACCTTTGTGTCTCGCGAATTTTTCCAGATGTTTTCATTCAGTGTCAAGCCGGCCTGTGCCACGCACACCACAGACTACGCGTGATATGTTGTTCCTCTACACAATCAAAACATTTGGAATCTTCAAGGCAGTCAAATTTACCATTGTGCCTCACGGACTTTTCCGGATGTTACCATTCAGTTCCGAGCCGGCGAGCAACACACACATTACGGACTGCGTGTGTCAGTGCGTTATCTATTGTTCCTCTCGAGCGATTGAACTATTTCGTCGAGTCTTTTAAGAAAATCAGTCTCGTCGGCATCGCGATATTTATAACACGTGTACTTTCGATTAAACCGTATCTGCGCGAGTGTCAGTGTCAATGCCAATACCACAACGGAGCAGCCAAGATACTGGGTCGAGAAACTAGGACGAGGGACGCCGAAAAACAGGCAGCGATACATCGTATATTTCGAGGTATGTCAAATTATTTATTATAAACGAGGTTCCCGTTTTTAACGGGCGTTTAAGGAATTTGTCGATAGCAAAGAGCTACCCGAGTCGAAATTTAGGTCAGCATTCATAGTTTAGTTCATTATTGGACATATAATAATAGCTTCATCGATCTCCGATTAATCGTCAACTTGTATCTATATTTATTACTATTACTATTTTAATTACTATCTATATTTATTACTATTACTACTTGTATAAATACAAGAGGCATTGATCCGAACAACCGATTAACCATTTATGAATATAAAGCTATAATTAATTATATTTTCAAACAAAGATTTTAAGTTATTTCACTTATGAATACCGATCTAAGAATTCAATTTAATATGTTTCGCAAGTGCTGATTTTTCAGTCTAATAATGCTCCTTGAGTCGCAATTCCTCTCTTCTTCACATCTGCCAACAACTTTCTTTTCACTTCTGTTTATCACAAGTATATATTGTACCAAATTCCAATTTAAATCCCTATTAGGGTATAGCATTATTAGATTGTTATTCTTGTAATATAATTGTTATTTTTGTCTTTACAGCTTCATATCAGCTCTTTTAAGAGCTATAAATCTCATCAAAACTTCCATTGACCTCTTCAGAAGATTTGAAATTAACTGAAGATTTAAAATTAACTGCGTGATTCCCGTCTTGGCGATTCAGCCAAAGCGGGTCTTTCTTTTTAAATAAGCATATTTATATTTCTTTTCTTTTTATTTTCTTTAAAGAATTTTAAAAAATATAATGCAAAATATTTCTAATTTGCATATGCTATGAAAGTTAAAGAAATACATACGATAGTTTAAGTAGATCAAAAGAAATTTAATATTTTACCACCAAATTTTTTTGAGCATACCACTGAAGGAATTAAAAAAAAGAGAAAACAAAGAAAGAAAAAAAGAAGAAGCAAAATTAGGAAGAGATGAGATTAAGAATTGTTCTTTTATCCATTTCCTTTTAATCCTTATTAAATAATTTAACCTTAAATAAATTATCTTAGTTAATTCTTATTAAATAATTTAATCTTAAATAAATTATCACTGATAATCCTTATTAAATAATTTAACATCCGTTTGTCTATATAACAATTTCGTTCGTATATAGCCACATTTCGCCAATCGCAAGCGTACAGTTTGTTAGTTAATATGTTAACGTATAATAACGCCACGCTTCGCTTATTGTCAATTATCATATGATTTCTGTTACGATAGAATATCGAATAATTATTGAACGAAAATGATTTTGTGACAATTGTCAAGCTTACGTGAAAATGTCTTTTTGATGTGTAAAAATTAACGTGACGATATTATGAAGAAAGTAGATAGGTTAAAAAGATAAATTAAAAAATGAAAGAGGTAAGTTTTTTCATTAATTACAAGTCACATTAATTTTATAGTAATTGATTGTTAGAGCGAAAGAAAAATATTTGGACTATTTTGGAAATGTGCTTAAATGAGATTGCAAATGTCATTTTATATTTACATAATTTTATTTCGATATATTTTGCAAGAATGTTTGTCGTGTATTTTCGGAATTTATCGATCGAGAGTTCCGCGGTGCCTTAATTCATCTATTTTCTTCGAAACGACGGGACCGTTTTAATCGCGTCATATGTTTCTAGATTTCGTTATTCAAAAACATCAGAATGCACTGCAAATCCAAGTGTGTTATTTTAGCTAAATTTCTTTTCAGATGTTTTAAGTCATATCATCTTTTAACACATGTATAATTTACACATCTTAAGTCTCGTAAAATATAAATGACATATATGAAATAAAATAATAAACAATTACTATAGAATATCGATTTATACATCTCGGTTATATAATAATTTCTACTATAAAATTTTTTCGTTTTTTTTTCTCTCTGCGCGGCTATTAAAATATATTGAAGTCATTGAACGTTAAATAATTCTTGAACGAGTACTTCTTCAAGCATCTTTAATATCTTCAGCTTCTCCAACGTAGAGAAAACGGTAGTGAGCAACAGCATCTGCAACATCAAGGTAGGTCGATAGTCTGTATAGTGTTATATTAGAAGCTTACAAAAGCTCTTCGGATTTTTTGCCGTATTTACTTTTATTACTAATGACAAAATAGTATATTCAATCAAAACATCTGCCTACTACTTTCTGCTATTATTTTTAGGGTAATTGTTTGATTCCATATTTGTCAAATGAGAGATTCGTCTTTTGAGTCAATGCAATCATCGATGATCCGACAAACTTTTGCAAGCCTCTAATATTTCGAGATTCTCCATTAATCTTTCAAGTTCGACGGAATTTGCAGGATTAATGTAGAATCAAAATTTCGACTTGGGTAAACACTGTCTACGAATTCTTCCTTAATCTTTAAATGACAAGGTGAAATTATACATACACAAATCATATATGTCTCCATTACTTTTTTTTATTTTTTTCTGCGTATTAGAATTTATATTAAGATAAATAAACAGTAATTTAACAAGAATAATTTTTTGTCCTATAAAACAATTTTTCAGTGTTGTATTTAACTTTAGTGCAAACATATTATAATTTTAATATATTAAAATTTTAATAGATTTTATTTTGAAAAATATATATCGCATATCGACATCTTGTCGTTTAAGAATTATCAATTACATGACCATATTTCTCTATTTGTGAAATTATCGATGATTCAATGACATTTTTTGAGCAAACCTTTATAACGAAAAGATATTTTTATCGCGGTATGTTTTTTTTCCAAGTGCAAGATTTGCATGATCTGAAAATTTGAGATGCATATTATGTAAAGACTGACAGAAAAATGTAGGAAAAATGAGAAAGAAATGCGGTACTCTTTACGCTCGCGCTGAAAAGTTGAAGGATCACAGCGTGTGTTTGCTAAGTGCCGTAGAACAGAGGTAGGCCTTGAATGATTTTCCGCGGCGTGAATCATTTCGCTTCATTGGCGAATGGTAGTCTCGAAGGATGCTAAGGCGGAGAAATCGAGTTATGTTAAGGGAAACAAGTCGAACTTATTTTATACGGCCTCGTTTCGCCGGCATTCCGGACGAGGTCGATATCGCGATCGGTAAAACGCACGTGTTGTTATACAACACACGCCGTCCTTGAAACGCATAATACGCCTCCGCATCTCACGCCCCGTTCTACCTTCGCGGATCGACTTTCTTTATTACATCAAGACGCTGCACCGGAAATAGCGACGGTTAACATTACAGAAGGACGAGATCATCATCCAGCGTCGATTATTTGTAGTCGATTTTTCCTTGAAAACTTTGAAAATAACGACTAAAAATATTGTGCCATTTTTTTAGTACACTTATCGTTGATACGACTAATTTTTACTGATTTTACTTAGAAAAAAAGAATATTCTTGTTTGGAGAATATCTTCATTGTTGACATTCTAAAAATGAAATTAATGTTAAAATAAAATTATATGGCAAAGATAAATTAGTCTTCAATTAAGACGAATATTGTCAAATTAACACAATTATTCTCTCATAGAATATTACAATATTAATATTCTTGCATATATATAAAAAATATATAATATATAACCAAGAATATTAATATTGTAATATTCTATGAGAAAATGTATTAATTTGACTATATTCGTCCTGTTTGAAGACTAATTTATCTTTGTTCAACGCCATATAATCTCATTTTAACATTAAATTTATTTTTAAAATATCAACAATAAAGATATTTTTAAAACAAGAATATTCTTTTTCTCTGTGTAAATAAGCTGGATTTTTTACTTATTTTTTTACGTTTTACTTATTTTTTTCGCCTTCTCATCCAAAAAAGATTCGGAAATATCGACTAACACATTAATTTCTCTCCTGACTGAGCAAATTTCCTCTTCTGTCTATGTGTCAGATGTTACTTGCGAATAGCATTATGTAGGTAGAATAATGCATGAAGGAAGACGGGGAATCGTTAAGTCTGAATTATTTAACCCAGATTACCCGCGCAGAGGGATCAACCTCAATGTCCAAATTATATTTAGATAGAATAACGTAACATCGTAAACGTACACGGCGATTCAGAAAAGTACCCGGACGAGAGAAAGAGAGGACGTATGAGGGATCTGTAAATTTAATAGCACAAACTATGATAATTTTATCATGATAATTTTAACGCGACAATTTAGGAATTTATTTTATACCATGGAGATTGATCGGAGATGCTCAGCGCGACAAGTACAAGAGGTCTCACACCGCAATTCCACGAGTGACGACACAGATCGTTCCGCTACGATTCCGCCCTGTAACGATCGCGCGTGCCGTTCATTCCCGACAATTATCAATACGATACGATAAGAAAGTGAACGGCATCCGGTCTTCCCTCGTCCTTCTTCGTTCACGAAGAAACGCGTCGTCGATCGACAAACAACCGGCCGTCCAGGTGAACACTGCGGCCGTCGTGTCGCGGTAGTCAAATGAAACGCCAGAAAATACGACGGTAGCGTCTCGTTACGCTCAAGTCGTCGTTACTGTGTCGACCGAGGTCCAGCAGGCGACCCGGCCGACAGTCAATTACTTTCGACGTCGCGCCAACCACGACGACGTGCATTTCTTTTCCTCATTCGTCGATGTCGCTTCGCGGTTGCACCCCGTGTCGCATCCCCGGTATTTATCGCCACCCGCGGCTCGACCTCTCGCATTTTCGCTCGAGTTTCTTTTCTGGACGAGACCGCTTAATGGCACCTCGCGGGGAGGCGCGACTCCATCATGGCAACAATAGGCTACCCCCTATATTGTATTCCGCACGAGAGTCTGCGTCTAAACGCCAATAACAGTCCAGTTTTATCGCACATTCAAAAAAATGTCTTGCTGGTTCAGGTAGAATTCTAAGGGTCGGTTTATCCAACCTCTTGCTAAGCTAACTAACAGTTAAATCTTATGTCTGTTTCTATCTAATTTAAAGGAGAAACAAAGACAGACGTATGAGTTAACTGTTAGTTAGCTTAGCAAGAGGTTGGAAAAACCGGCCCTAAATGTCGCAGTTAAAATTTATTGCCATTATCTGCTGGAAAATTATCTACGGTACGTACGTAGAACTTTTCAGCAATAGCATTCTAATAATTTAGGTGAGTGTGAGAATTATACATTTGTTTGTCTCTCCTCGTTGGTCGCTTTTGCCTACCATAGTCACTTTTTATAAAAAATATGACTGATTTTGATCTAAATGAGTACGAGAGAGAGAAAGAGAGAGACTTCTCTTGTCAAATTATACAAATAGTTGGAATGGAAATTCTGTCTTCGCCATCTATATTGATTAAATACAAAACACATGCGATATCGTAGTGTTTGCTAGTTACTTACCTATCTTAGTTAATTTCTCGTATTTAAATAATTTTCACTATGACTGTGAGACATTATTTGAGTGCGAACTCAATTCTGAAGGAGAGGCTCTCGAAGAGAACGACAACGATGACGAAGATTGTGACGAGCTTAACATCGTCGCCACGTACGTACATAAATCCGTGAATCGCGCGCGTGTGTTGCTGACCGCTCGCCTCATTCGTGCACGTGAGCCCCGTACGATCGCCATTTTTACGCGGGACTTTTATGATGGAGCCTGATCGCCTAGATGGAATCGGATGTCACTGTTGAACGGACACTCGCGCGATCGTATCGAGGCTTTCCATCAAGCTCTCCCTCCCTTTCTCTCTCTTTCTCTTGTCCCTGTGCCTCTTTTGCCGCTGAATAAACCGACGGCCGCTATTTTCTCCCGCTAGCGGAGATAAAAGACGAAAGAGAGGACGTAAAGACGAAGGGAACTTGGAGGGAAATTGAGCCGCGGCCG